TAGGCCACCACACCACTCCAATTTGGTTATTTGCTCTGTTGTTTATTTGCATACAATATTTGTCTGCGCTGTCCTTTTTGCTCTTTGATGCTTTTATTTGCATACAATATTTGTTTGACCTCCTTCACCCAGGCTCTGAGTGGCTATTTTGTTTTTTTTTACAAAGAATAATAAGTGCTCTGGGATTTTAAAATTCAGACCGACCATCCCCTGTTGCATGAGCCTCCAGACTGAATTGATAATTGTTGATAATGATTTGATAGTTGTTGATAAGAAAGACCAAAAAAAAAAAAAAGTTTGGATAGTGGATGTCCCAAAGGTGCTTTTTTTCAGGAGGCAACTGGACTTTCTTGGTTTTTTCTTTGAAGACATTTCACTTCTCATCCAAGAAGCTTCTTCAGCTCTGACTGGATGGAGGGGCATGAAAGGAGGGGAATAAATCCAAAGTCAGAAAAGGGATCATAATGTCCCGCTTAATCAGGGTGACTTTCTTTGTAGACCTAAGGGATAGAATCCATTCGAAGGAAAGTATCGTCAACCAGTAGAATGTAGAACCTGAGAGATTGATTGGTTTTATGCCGTCAAGTTGTTGTTAACTCTTAGCAACCACACACATAATGATCTGCCCAGATCTGGTCCTCCACCTCTTCCAACGGTGCCCCCATCGCCGTGATAACTGAGTCTACCCATCTTAGTACAAATCATCCTCTTCTCCTCCTTCCTTCCACCTTTCCCAACATTAGAACTTCATCCAGAGAGCTGCGTCTTCTCATATGTCCAAAGTAGAATAATTTGAGTCATTCGTGGCTTGAGTGAGAACTCTGGGTATGTATTTGTCCAAGATCCATCTGCTTATTAGGGCTTTTTGGTGGGGTTGTCTACAGTGTTCTCAAGCGTCTTCTCTAACACCAAAGTTCACAGGTGCCAATACTTCTTCTAAGTCCAACTTTTTCTTCAGAACAGTGTCCCTGGGAATAGCATGGCTTTCCCTGTTCCAAATTTTGTAGGGATAACAGAGTAACAAAATTGGAAGGGACTTTAGAGGTCTTCTTGGCCAACCCTTGCTCAAGCAGGAGACTGTATACCAGTGAGGGTGAACCTTTTTTTTTGTGGTGTGCCAAAAGCAGGTGTGCATGCGATAGCAGGCACGTGTGCGTGCCGGCACCCACCATGCAATGCGCCCTGCCCCCTGCAAATGTGCGCAACACCCCTGCCCTGCCCCCTTACCCGCACTGTGCATGGACGCGCCTCCCAGCTGATTTTCGGCCCGTTTGAGGTTGTTTTCGCCCTCCCAGAGGTTCGAGGGAAGGCTCGGAAGCCTTGGAAGGCCGAAAATGGGCCCTTTTCGTCATTTCCGATATTTCTGGAAGGCCCGTTTTTTGGCCTCCCGAGGCTGCAGAGGCTTCCCTCAAGCTTCCAGGAGGGCGAAAACGGCCTCAAGCGGGCCGAAAATCAGCTGGGAGGTGCGCGCATGTGCAGTGCAGGTAAATTTGGCTGTGGCTCACGTGCCCACACAAATGGCTCTGTGTGCCACCTGTGGCACGCGTGCCATAGGCTCGCCATCATGGCTCTATACCAGGGGTCCCCAACCACCGGTCCACGGACCGGTACCGGTCCGTGGAACAAGTCCTACTGGGCCGCTGGCTTGCTGGGCGCCGCCATCTTGTTTTGATGAAAAAGTGCTTCCGGTGAGCTTTTCCAGGTAGAAAAGCTCACCGGAAGCGCTGGGCGCCGCCATCTTGTTTTGTTTTGAGCTCACCGGAAGCACTTTTTCATCAAAACAAGATGGCGGCGCCCAGCTGATGTCGGTACCGGGCCGCGCCATAAAAAAGGTTGGGGATACCGGCCCGCGGTGTAAAAAAGGTTGGGGATCACTGCCCTATACCATTCAGGACAAGTGGCTGTCCAGGCTCTTCTTTAAAACCTCCAGTGTTGGTGGATTCACAACTTCTGGAGGCAAGTTGTTCCACTGATTAATTGTTCTGTCAGGAAATTTCTCCTTAAATTCTAGGTTGCTTCTCTCCTGGATTAGTTTCCATCTGTTGCGTCTTGTCCTGCCTTCAGGTGCTTTGGAGAACAGGTTGATCCCCTATTTTGAAAGAAATCTGCATCTGAGAGATACAACCCCAGAATCTTGGAAAGCAAACAGGTGGCAAAAATTATCTGGGGTTGAGCACTGTCTGCCAATGCATAAATTAAACCCTGAGTCATTTTCATTCATCAGCAGATGGCACCTTACTGATAACGAAGAAAGAATAGCTGTCGCAGCTAGAGGCAAAGAAAAAAAAAAACATGGATACAGGTAGTTCTTGACTTGCAACAGTTCATTTAGTTACCATTTGAAGTTACAATGGCACGAAAAGAAGTTGATTTACAACCGTTTTCCACACTTATCACTAACATTCCCAGGGTCACATGATCAAAATTTGGACACTTTACGACTGGCTCATATTTATGACGGTTACAGCATCCCCGGGGGGATTTGTGATCCCCTTTTGAGACCTTCTGACAAGCAAAGTCCATGGGGAAGCCAGATTCACTTAACAACCATGTTATGAACTTAACGTCTGCAGTGATTCGCTTAACAAGACAGGTCATAAAATGGGATAACATTCATTTCCCAACTGTCTTGCTCAGCGGTTAAGTAATTTTGGGCTCGGTTGTGGTTGCAAGTGAAAGACTCCCTGTATCTTCGGGGTCAGAAAAGATCTGCCATACTAGATCACTTCGAGGACCATGGCAGGATCGACCACCAGCGGAAGGGAAGGAGATCAAATTGAGAGCGTAGCCGAGAAAGTCCAGAAATATTTTACGAGAAGAGTTCTCCACTCCTCTACACGTTGCAGAATACCTTATGCCACCAGACTTGAAATTCTAGACCTAGAAAACCTACAACTACGCTGCCTTGGGTCCGATCTAAGTATAGTATATAAAATCATACATTGCTATGTCCTACCAATCAATGAATACTTCAGCTTCAACCATAACAATACAAGAGCACACAATAGATACAAACTCAAGGTTAACCACACCAAACTTGATTGCAGGAAATACGACTTCAGCAACAGAGTAGTCAATGTCTGGAATACTCTACCTGACTCTGTGGTTTCTTCCCCAAACCCCAAAAACTTTAACCTTAGACTATCTAGTATTGACTTCACCCCTTTCCTAAGAGGTCTGTAGGGAGCATGCATAAGCGCACCAACACGCCTACTGTCCCTGTCCTATTGTTTCTTTTTATTCGCATCCATTTCATGTATTCATAACCATGTTTATACTTATACCTGTTATCTAATACTTGCTTGACAAAATAAATAAATGAATAAAACAAATAAAGATAAGTTTCCAGCCTAAGCTTCTACATTCAAACGTCACACCGGACGATATTGGCTCACTGCATTTCAAGAGGTGAAATGAAAAGGCTTGCCATTAATTCTGAGTTTACAAGAGAATTTTGAATGGCCCCTGGGGAATCTCTTGCCTAGGAACACCACCCCACCCTCTCTTGTTAAAGAGAGACAGCTCTTTCTCCCCTGGCTAATTTTTACAATCTGTGCCTGCTTGGTTTTAAGGAAGCACCTTTAATTTGGAGATACTTCGGAAAACATATTTTGCCGCCGTAATTACGCCGCAGCATAAGGAGATTGGTCTGTAATTTTCAACTAGGCTGGGGTCTCCCTTTTTGAAGATGGGGATGACCGTGGCTTGTGACCATAGGTTAGGCAAGGAGCTGGTCCTGAAAGATTTTTCAAAGATTATGCTTAGAGGTTCTGCTATGGCAGTGGATAGCTTTTAATCAGCAGAATAAGATAGTAGGCAGCCATTGAATTAAGATGAGTTTTCTTCCCTGGTATTCATGATGAAAAGCTGCAGGAACTGGGGACGTCTGGTTTAACAAAGAGAAGGACTAGGGGTGACATGATAGCAGGGTTCCAATATTTGAGGGGCTGCCACAAAGAAGAGAGGGTAGCCAAAGGCAGAACAAGAAGAAATGGGTGGAAACTAAACAAGGAGAGAACCAAGCTAGAAATAAGGAGAATTTTCCTGACAGTGAGAATAATTGATCAGGGGAACAACTTTATTTTATTTTATTTTTATTTATTTATTTTGATTTGTCAATCACTTATAAGATAATAGGTATAAGTACATACATAGTTATGAATACATGAAATGGGTACATATAAGAAAAATAAAAAGAAACAATAGGACAGGGACGGTAGGCACATTGGTGCGCTTATGCACGCTCCCTACAGACCTCTTAGGAAAGGGGTGAGGTCAACAGTAGACAGTCTAAGGTTAAAGTCCCAACTCTCTTATTCTATTATTCTGTTCTGAAAGGGGTGGTAGCACTGCATCGTGGCTTTTATCCCTGGGCACTCCATCTCCTGACTCTTATGCTTTAAACATAGCCAAGGAGCTTTGTGTAGGACTACGTTAAGCCAAGCCTAAGTGTGCACACTGTATTTCCTTAAGCTGTGGTTATGTGACTGCACACGTGGTTTGAACATTTTTTGCTGGTGACCTGGACGAGACAGGATTAATCTGAGATACCTGGAAGAAAGCCTTGGAAATGAACTCCATTCACATTCTTCAATCAGCCCACTTTTGAATAATTGCTCTGTCCTGCCTTTCATCCACTATGTTTTACGAAGTGACCATAGAAGGGAATTATACTGGTGCGGTGTGCTCAGGTCTTTTTAAATTTATGCTTTCTTTTGACCGCTTAGCAACTAACTCTTCCTTTCTCCTATGGGGAAAAAAAATCTTCCTATAGGAAACTAAGTTCTGGCTTGTTTGTTCGGGTGTTTTAGAGAGATGTTAAAGACAAGCCATTTGTGGTCTTCTGTAGACCATCTCGGAAAGCAATGTAAGACTTTGGAGAGGGTTAAATGTCTTTGAGAGCTAGTTTGGTGAGAGAACCCTGTGTCCTAGACCTGGAAAAAAACCTGATTTTAGCTAAAATGAAGCATCCAAAGAATACAGTTTCTACAGAAGGCACCATGTATGGTGATAGGATTCCATATCATATCAGCTTTGGTGATGCTACTCAGGGTGAAGGAAACAAAGCCCAGCCATCTTAACAGGGCCAAGCCAAGACTGTCAGTTGCACAAAATTGTGTTCCAAGAAGATTTTGTGGTTACTGGCCTTGGACAGAAGAAAGGAAGGAAGGAAGGAAACATTTGCTCCTGTAGAAGAGAACAGAGCAATCTCACTAGAGATAAACAAAATCAAATTTTGAATAGAAATCAGGAAGGAAGGAAGGAAGGAAGGAAAAAAATTGATCCTGTAGAAGAGAACAGAGACAGAGCAATCTCACTAGAGATAAACAAAATCAAATTTTGAAAAGAAATAAGTAAGATGTAAGTAAGTAAGTAAATCAATGTGTAAATAAATTCTCTCTCTTTTTAAAACAGAAACAACAAAGCACAGCCTAAAACCATATGCCTTAACCATCCCAGTCCGCAGCAGCGCAGACGGAAGTTACATTTCCAACTTTGTTTCTATAAGACACTTGAGAAGATTAGTAAGGGATGTTTCTCCAAGTCAACCCAAGGAACTCTACTTCAACGTATCTGCCTTTGGGAGAGAATTTCACCTCCGACTGAGGCCTAACACTCGTCTCGTAGCTCCCGGCGCGGTGGTGGAGTGGTATGAAGATTCTCCATCGATCTACAACGGAACGGAAGAGGTTCACCAGGATCAAGGCGAGGGGGTCATGGAGAGACTATGGAAAAAGGAATCCCTGCGGACCAACTGTGCTTACGTTGGAGATCTGGTGGATATCACAGGAGCTTCCGTCGCCATGAGCAACTGTGATGGTCTGGTAAGATACATATTTTGAAGCAGACGCTGTCATTCTCGAAATAATGGAAAATACTCGTAGCTCGGGTTTTAGATTTTTGGCAGCAGTTTGCTCTCTTTCAATTTAAGTTTCTGAACGTTTCATTACCACACTAGGTAACATCATCAGTAGGATTTTCTTGTCCTATTCTCCTTAGCTTATAAATGGCTTGTGTGCCACTGAGGCCAGTTGGTCGTGTGATTGGTTGTTTGTTTGGAGCTATATTTAAATTCTGAGCAGCTGATTGGTTCTCTTGTTGATCGGTTGTCTGAACGGTCTGATTTCTTATGTGTTCATTCATATGCTGGATCTAGATCAATATGCTTGTCATTATTGGTTATGCATACAGGTAGCCCTGGGCTTGCTATGTATATTTAAATTGAATGTCCCATAGGTGCTTTTTCAGGAGGCAACTGAACTTTCTTGTTTTTTTTCCTTTTTTTTTGGAAGACGTTTAGCTTCTGATCCAAGAAGTTTCTTTAGCTCTGACAGGATAGTGGGGAATGGAAGGGAATAGGAATGGATTTCCAGAGGAAAAATTGCAGACTACAGGAACCATTTGCACTACTCAGGTGACTCTGAGGACACAGATAAACCTCCAAGGAGCCTCAACGACCCTCTAAAAGGATGCAAATGACCAGCTGACTGCAAGGAATATAAATCCTTCCATTCCCCAGCATCCGGTCAGAGCTGAAGAAGCTTCTTGGATGAGAAGCGAAATGTCTTCAAAGAAAAACCAGAAAGTCTAGTTGCCTCCTGAAAAAGAACCTTTGGGACAACCATGACAGAGAATCTCTACAGACATTTAAATTGAATGTTTCTATTTTTTTAAATTATTTTAAAAATGTTTTTAGTACAAGTAATCCTCAACTTACAACAATTCATTGCATGACCATTCCAAAGTTACAACGGCACTGAAAAAAGGAACTTATGACCATTTTTCACACTTACGACCATCGCAGCATCCCTGTGGTCACGTGATCAAATTCAGACGCGTGGCAATTGACTCATATTTATGACGGTTGCAGAGTTCCAGTTTACGTGATCCCCTTTTGCGACCTTCTGACAAGCTAAGTCAGTGGGGAAGCCGGATTCACTTTACAACTGTGTTACTCGCTTAACAACTGTGGTGATTCACTCAGCAGCTGTGGCAAGAAAAGTCATAAAATGAGGCAAAACTTACTTAACAGCCGTTTCGCTTAGCAATGGAAATTTTGGGCTCAATTTTGATCCGTAAGTCGAGGATTACCTGCATTGATGACAAAGTACTGATCTTACTTGGGTGATTTACAATCATTTCAGGCAAACACTGTGTGGGAAGAAATATCCATCTGATTCAGGTCCAAGCAGGGAGAAAGACACTAGAAACATGGAGGCTGATTGGAAAGATGGTTTAATGATGAAGCAGACCCACATGGGTTTGTGGTTCTGGGCAGCTGACAAAATATTTGAGTTGAGAGTGAGAGGTTTTTATACCTTCTCTTGTGCTTTGAACTTGAGCTTCCTGTTCCTGTGGAAGAACATGTATTCTATTGGGTGTTGTGGAGGTTATGTAGGGGTCACAGCTGGCTCTATAGGCAAAGTACAAATCCTAGGTGTTTGTCTGAGCTAAGTTTGGTTGTAGTTTCTGAGGGTGATGCAATGAAGGGGCTTGCTGGGCAATTGCTATTGTGGCTGAGGGCTAATCCTACCTTTGTTCAGACTTTGCTGCAGGGAATTTCAAAATATCCTATCTTGAATGGATTTCTGCGTGCAGTATTTGCTTTGCCTATGAATAGAGCGGCCTAGATACTTGGCTTCTTTCAAGAAGCTCTTTATCTCTTAAGTGCTGACATCTGCTGAGGGCTGTTAAGAAAGGTCGGGGCTGCTTTCTGTCTCCAAGAACATGTTTCTCTATTTCTCCCTTTAGGGAAATATAATATTCTGCCTTTTTAATATTTCCCAAAATATTTCATTTGTCTGGAGTATGTGTGTGCGTGTGCTGACTTTCTACAACTGTAACTGTATCGTTTTTCAACCCAAATGGAATTGTTTGCAAAGCCATTGCTTCTTGTGATCTGAATCGAACGATTGCATCATGGGGTTCGATAATGGTCATTTTTCTAGTCTCAGGTTGAACTTTTCCCAACGTCTTGAGAGTCTTTTAACTCGGGGTCTTTTTTTGTGGGGGAGGGGGGGGGAGGGGTGTTGTTTGTTTGTTTCTAGGCTTTCAGGTAAAGACATTCCAAGACATTTCAAGCACAGACGTAGAGGCTTGGATTCTCTCAGATGTAGAAACCCAGCTTGGAAGTCAGCAATTCGTGGTGAAGTCTTCTGCTATTCGTACTGAGGTTGGGCAGATACAATCTTGAGATATTTTTGGGGTTGCTTCTGCTTTCTTGGTCTGGTAAGTCAGATCTGAGAACTGATTTATTTTATTTTATATATCAGACGTGGTGACAACCCATCTCACTCACAGAGCGGCTTCCCAGAACGCAGAACTAGACTAGAACAGTGGTCGCCAACCAGTGGACTGGGGACCACTGGCGGTCCACGAGAAAATTTTGGTGGTCTGCAGAGAAATGTCACCCCGCAAAGCAATTAATCCAGGCTGCATGGGAACACAAGCCTGCGCTGCCCACATGGCCCACGGGAACACAAGACTGGCATCATTTGCATTGCGAGCAAGATGAGGTAGTGAGGGGAGGGGGGAAAGGCCGGAGGGGGGAACTTGCTCCACTCACCGCATGCACCTCTCCTGGCCACCCGGCTGCTTCTTTCCGCTTCTTTCTTCTTCTGCTTTTGGCTGCACGCAAGGAAAGCAGCAAAAGTCTTTCTTTCTCTCCCCCAAATTCTGCCAGAAATGAGTTTTTGGGACCATACAAGGCATCCTGCTCTAAGAGGCTGAGCTGGCATGACAAGTCTCACAAAGACTCATTTCTGACGGAGTTTGGGGGAGAGAAAGAAAGACTTCTGCTGCTTCTGCTGTTTTCCTTGCATGAAGCCAAAAGTCTCTCTCTCTTTTTCCTGAAAACGGAGCTGGAGATGGTATCCTGTGAACCCAAGTAAAGAATGATCGATTGGTAGGAAAATGGGGTGGGGAATTTTCCTGCAGACTTTTTTGGGGATTTTCCCAGGGTCTCCAATATGCGGGATTTAAAATTATGAGTTTGGGGGTCCCTGCGGTCCAAAAGGTTGATAACCCCTGGACTAGAAGACCTCCAAGGTCCCTTCCAACTCGGTTCTTCCCTTAATGCACAGTTGATGTGCCAAACTTACAAGTGGAGGTGGAACCTGAAAGTTGCTAGAATTGAGTCTGGAGACGTGCGTCATTCAGTCTGGAAAGCATCTCCTTGAATGGCTGCGTACCGCTCTACTTTTAGGGTATGGGAAGTCAGAAATCAGGTGTATGAAAGTGGAGCATGTAGTAGGCTTTCTCAGGTCTATCCAGGGTTGCTGAGGGTTTGCCCCCAGGGGTAGGGGGAGCCCCTAGCTAAGATTCTGTGCAATTTGGAGAACCCCCAAATTCCACTCCTGGCTGGCCCTCCCCACCCCACCCCTCCTCTCCCAAGAGTCCCATTTGGGATTCAGGTAAGCACAGAGCACACACAGAGGCTCGGGGAGGGTGAAAAACGGGCCTCCCAGAAGTTCAGGGAGCCCGGAAATGGGCCTGGGGAGGCTGTTTTCGCCCTCCCAGAGGCTCAAGGAAAGCTTCTGGAGCCCTGGAGGGCAAAAATGCCCCCCCACCATGGTGCAGAAGGCCGACTAGGCCATGCGCACCATGCCCACACCCACCCAGCAACCGGGCAGAGAACCCTTTGCTTAAAATTTTTGAAGCCCCCCCCCGGCTCTATCCCCAAACTTTTTGATATTTGAAAGCAAGTCACAGTGAGATTTTCACCTCTTAGTGATGTTTGAGTGACCACCATGGGTAAAAAGTGGACTGGAACATAGAATAATAGGGCTGGAAAGGAACTTGGAAGTCCAACCTCCTGTCCATGGTAGGAGATCCTTATTTCATCCTGTGCCATACTAAATGACCTTGACATGTTCTTTGACGGTTTCGCTGAATATATTATGAATGTCATTCAGGTAGACGAGGAGCACTTTGTATAGGTGTGGATGTAACACTTCATTGATGCGTTGCATAAATACTGCGGGGAGGCCCTGGAGTCTGAAAGGCGTAACTTGGAATTGGAAACTACCCAGAGGGCAGTTGAAGGCAGTTTTCCATTCGTCTCCTTCCTTTGTCAGTAAGCTTCTCTCAGATCTAGTTTGGTGAAGACCTTGCCTTTAGACAGGTGATTTAATAAGTCCTTCACGAGGGGGAGGGGGTACATGTTTTTTATGCATACCGTGTTCACGCTCCTAAAATTCACGCATAATATTAAACCGCCATCTTTTATGTAAAGCTGTCAAAATGCAAATTCTGTGGGATCCTTGATGCTCTCTGGGCTTGGTGGTGTTTTTTTTCTTCTTCGTTTGCAGACATTTAATTACCAACTAGTGTGCTGATGATGTTACCTAGTTTGGTAGTGAAATGTCTGCAAGGAAACAACTAAGCTCAGAGAACACCAGGGACTCTACAATTCATCCCTGAGCAACAAATAATTCTTCTCTATTGGCAACACCAATTTACCATCTGGTGAAAGGACTGGAACAGTTATAAGAAAGAGTCATAAGCGTCACCGTGTCATTAGCCAGGTATTTTTTACTGAAGAACATTTACATTAAAATTATTTTTTAAAAAAACATGGTACCCTCCAAATGTGATGAGACTCTGGAATCCCCATTTTTCCCAGCCTAACGCAAGCTAGACTCCTGGGAGTTCTAGTCCTTGCCAACATATCTGGACAGCATCCATGGAAGCTATGATACAAGTTGGGGATTTTGAAAGTAAGACAGGACTGGAAGGTCAGCTCTTTCCAAAATGGACTGGAAGCCAAATTCCATCGAAATTGAACTTTTGCATGCAACCGCTTGCTCAGTAGACATGGAGAAGA